CGTGACTCTGCTGCCAACATTATTTTTTCCTTCGTTGGCCCGATTGGAGTTAGAACAACCAACTAACATTATTTTTTCCTTTGCTTGCCCGATTGGAGTTAGAACAACCATCTATGTTGAGCGTAGTGCCTTGCTGTGTGGGGTTAAAATTTTAGTTGATGAATTTACGGGTTGTTCTTGTATCTGTGAAGGGGACTCCTTAAATGTTGTTAAATAGTGTAAAAAGGAACAACACTTACCCTGGGAACTTTGTGGCCATTGGCTGCAAGTCATGGATTTAGTTGAAACATTCTATGTTTCATTTGTCCATGTTTTTAGGGAAGCTAATGCCCTGGCAGATTCTTTGGCGAATACTGGGGCTCTTCTATCTTCTCTTGTTGTTTCGAATGATGTAATATCTTTCCCTGCTCAACAGTAAAATCTTTGAATCTTTGTCAAAAAAAAGATAATATCTGGAATTTCTATCTTGAGAGAATTTATGTTCTAATTTGATTGTCAATGTAGTTTATAAAGAGAGATTGAGATGAATTAGGTGGTGAATAGTAAACAAATTCACGAGGGATTTGAGCGGGTCCCCACCATTGGATTAATAGGTCAAAGAAGAATCTATAATAGAGGAGACTTACATCAGCCTGTATATATATTGTCTTTCAATATTTATAGAGTGACATATATGTTGTACCATTGTAGAAGAGGTTGTTTCGACACATAAAAATCCTCAAATTGATCATCTCGATCTTAAGATATGGACACAAGAAAAAATGGATTTCAAGTCTTGAAAATAATACATATTGTAAAGCATTTTCTGGACCGTCAATTTTTTAGATTTTCATGTGTTCATATATCTGCTTGATCTACACTAATTTTGAAGCTATAATTTTATAATTAGATATTGAAATGAATTTTAAGGACGTCACCAAGATTTTCAATACTCAAACAACATCTTTCTCCACTATTTGAAGGTGCACCTTACTTTGATTGTTTAGGGCCTTATACAAACCACACCCTTAATATAATGACCTCTCTACATGATCCATGGATTACTCAAGAGGGCGATTCCCTATCTTCTCTATATTGTTCTTTTAGTCATCCTTTGGTGGGACTAGCATACTTTCTGGTAATGCTATTCTTGATCTTCCAAATTACTTCCTTTAGTATTTGTTTATGAATTATCTTTTAAAGCACTTTGTTGTGAGACTAGAGATACTTGAACCAGCTATAACATTGATGTGTATCATAAGGTTTATTTTTATGTCCTCCACAAATGTGCATGGAATAAAAAAGTGATCATGATTCTCATTATTGCACAAGTTGTGTATGTTACTCAATTGAAAACCTCTTTTTTGGAAAAAGAGCCCAAGCTTAGTTGATTAGTGCTTGATGATTTGCAATGCTACGTCCTAGAGTCAATTTCTACCAAAGGTAGGGCTTTCTCCCCACTCACTCAAGCAAAAAAAACCTCGTCTTTGCACTTCATCGTTGTTTATTAGCCTCTTTTGCTAGGCTAGCCATGAGAACCGTGTGGCCTAGGATGAATCGTTTTTTCGTCTCTTTTCTTTTCTTTTATTTTTGTTATTTTTTTTTATTTTAAAAATGGCCATGAGAGTCTTATTTTTTCGGTCCATGTTTTCTTATTATTTTGTAATGTACGCACTAGTGGAGGTGATACCTCCATTATTATTGAGAACCCAAGTAAGTCTATCATCAACTTTATCGTGGCCTAAAGCCAAACGACAATGTCCCGTTATAAATGGGAGGGTCTTATCGCTTATATGTCCATATATTATATCTACAAACGTATTTTTTCTTTATTAACTCTGACCACTGAAGTCATATATTCAAGCAATATTTCAGTTTCGGGAGAGAAACATAAATTTTAGACTGATTTATGTAGGGACCCTAAAATTTGTTCGAAAACATAAACTGCTCCATTTGTAGGTGAAAATTACAAAGAAGGTAAGTCAATCCACCTTTTTTTTTTCTTTTTTTTTTTCTAAAATTGTCCACACATGAAGATCGTTGTGCACCAGCATACCGTGCGATTTGTACTATATTCCCCAAAACACATGCACACGAATTACTACATAAGTGCATTTAGTATTCCGTCTTGTGTACTGTGCACACAACACAAATCACTTAATGTGCACTATTCATGTGCAAAGTGTAGTAATGTTGCGCACAATTATGACGAGTGTTGTGCACCCTCGCATTATGCGATGTACACTACATTCCCCAAAACACATGCACATGAAGCACTACATAAGTGCACTTAGTACTCAGTCTTAGTTTTTTCCATTAGTAGGGCACTACCCTAAAGCTTGGGGCACTGCCCTACTAACGAATAAAACTTAAAAAAAAAAATCAAAAATTCAGATTGAGGATACCATCCTCAGACCGAAGGGGAATTTTGAAAATATAAAAATGACAAGTTGAGCGACCTTTATTGTAATTTCTGCCTATTTCATTTTTTAAAAAAACTTTTAGGGTCCGTATGTAAATTACTCTTAATTTTATTAAAAATGTATGAAAAAAGAACTCACAGAGCTCAAGACTCACTCCTGTATATTTTCCCTAGGTTACATGGATGTTATGCAGAATACCTAACGGCCCTAGATACACATTTTTTCTCTTTCTTTCAAAGACTGGATATATGAACTCAATTATCAACATGAGAGATGCATTCTATGAAACCTCACCAGATTTTTCACTGAACTCCTGTAATTTGAGATAAAGATTCTTAACAACAGGAAATCCCATTAGAATTCTTACATCTTTTTAACAGTTTACAAACTCCAACAATGAAACACGCTGTATAACAATCCAGTGCTTACAACAATAAAAGTAAGAAAAGGTTTAACAAATAAAATAGAACAAAGAGACTACCAACATTTAACATTACACAATGTCCACAAAACAAGTAAAATTATAAGTTTAACAGTAAACTGGTGGGCAATTGGAAACGCAACATAATTATAAGTAATGCTTATAATTTTACCTAGTTTTGTGGACACTTGTAAAGTTAAATATAGGTAAATCTCTTTGTTTTTATTTATTAGACCTTTTCTTTTCTTTTATTGCTGTAAGCATTGGGCTCTAACTCGCTGGGCTCCTACCGGTCAATGCCAGTCCCAAGCCCTAGTAAAGGAGGAGGATTGCATTAGGTGGGCAGCCACTTTAAATTTTACCTCAATTTTTTATGAATCTTAAATAGTCTTACTGAGGATATAACCCTTGATAGTTCAAAATAACATAACAAAATTCGCGTAGCTGCCCCCAAATAGTTGGGATCAAACTCTGGTGATGATGATGATTGTTGTAAGCACTGGATTGTTACACAAGAGTGTTTCACTAGTGGAGTTTGTAAATTATTAATAGGATGTAAGAATTATGGGTTTTTCTAAAGGGAAAAGTTTATATAGAGTCGAAGCTCTAAACCATCAAATTAGAGCCTACATCAAAAATTTCACTAGAGGAGATTATTTTGATACCCAAATATCTTTAAATTGATCATCTCGACATCAAGATACATGGACATGAGAAAAAAATAGATTTCAAGTTTTGGAAATAGTGTATTTTGTAATGCATTTTTGGACCATCAATTTTCAAGATTTTCAAATTTTGATAGATCTGTCGATCTACACTATTTTTAAAGCTTTAAACTTTATAAATAAAGATGAAATATATTTTAAGGCAATCACAAAGATTTCTAATGTTGAAAATATATTTTAAGGCAATCACAAAGATTTCCAATGTTGAAACCACATTTCTCGATACTATTTGAAAGTAGGCTCTACTTTGATTGTTTAGAGCCTAGGCTCTATACAAACTGCACCCTTTTCTAAAAAATCTTACACCTTTTTATAAAAAATTCTTCTCTCAATTAGAGAAGCTTTTTGAATTCCTATAATTTGCCAAAAAATTTGGCGAGGTTTCTTAAAATGCATCTCTTATATCAACTAGCAATTGGGCGTAGTGGAAATTTATACATCTAGTCTTTGAGAAAAAGAGAAAAATTCACACATAGGAGTTTTGAGTTTTGAATTCTTTCGCCCACTTCTTTTTCCTCCATTTTATACTAAATTTATTGGAAATGAGGATATCGAAATCGATGAGTAACAAGACAGGAATGGATAGAATTCAAAATGAATATATTTTAAAAAATTTAAGTGTGACACCAATAGGCAATAAAATGAGAGAGGGTAAACTTATGTGAGCTGACCATGTGTGGTGTATGCCCAGTATAACACCTATGAATATGTGTGAGGTAGTTCAAGTAGAAGGCTAAAACAAAACAAGATGTAGGCACAAAAGATCATGGTTGAAAGTAGTGAGAAAAGATATGAGGATTTACGACCTGATTGGAGATATGATATTTAATATGACAGAATGACAGACCAGGATTCGTATAACCGATCCCAAATAATTGGAAAAAAGGTACGATGATGATGACCCATCCAATTCCTAAAAAATCTCTCTCTAAATTGAGTCGAAGTAAACAATCAAGTCAAAATAGGAATCACCCAAACATGGAAATTCTGATATATTATCAAAACAACAATATTTTCTCAACAAAAATAAATGTCAATTTTAGATTTGAACCGAGAATCATCATGCTTGAACCGGTTCCTCTAAATATTGGGAACCTCAATGTTACGAAACAACCGGTTCTCGAACATGAGAAAACTTATAAGAAAAACCTTGTTTTTTATTTTTAAAGATGAGTTTGTTGATACAGATCAGCAGTCTAGATCGTCGACTACCTAACCAAATTGAAAATCCAAATGAACGATCCGAACCAGATCCCTTTTTTACAACCTTGGTGGAACATTAAGATGGAGAAGGATGAAGATAGTGGAACATAAAGATCCAACTTTGGTTTGTTTCATTTGATTTAAGATAAAAATCCAACTTTGGTTTGGTAGAGAGAGAAAGAGCGATCAAATTTCCAACGGGGGGCCTCCTTACTCTTCACAAGTCACATGTTCCCTTCTCTCTCTTAAGTCCTAACAAATCACATGTTCCTTTCTCTCTCTCTCTCTCTCTCATCGTGTCGATTCTGTTATCTTCCTCTCTCTCACTCATAAAGATCCACCGTCTCCCTCGACCCATCCCAGACCCATCTTGTAATGGTCTGGCTCTCTCTCGCCCTCTTCAATGGACGAATGCGTCGAGCCCTCCACCTCCTCCCCACCCACTGCACCACCCACTTTCTCTCTCCACATCAGGAGAGAGCCCTTTGAGTACGGTCTCCTCCCCATCTCGAAGCTCATCTTCACTGATGGCACCTCCACCTTAGCACCTCTCAGAGATAAATTCTTCCAACTTTCTTTCAACAAAGACTCGTTCTCTCTCTCCTCTTCTTCTTTGAGAATCGACGCGTCTGGTATTTCTCAGGCCCTTGAGATCTCCATTGAAAATGCTCACCTCGTTCTCGATACTTTGGCCACTGTTCTGCCTGATTATGGAGATGTGGGTTTATCAGATCCTCTGGTTTATGCGAAGCCTGATGAGATCGATAAGATTGGTGCAAATGTGTGTGATTTGATATTGTTTCTCTATATTCAGTCGTATAAGAAGCTTTTACCTCGACCCCATAAGGACTCTGCATCTATAGCCGATGTGTGGCCTTCGACTTCGGTTTTTGATGGCTATCTCTGTGCGCTTTCACCCCTTCAGGTGCGCCTATTGATCCATCTCTATCCGTGTGTGTTTACTTTGGGTAGTTCCTCTCCGTGCTTCTCATGTGCTTTTGTAATACTATGAGGCCCATATTGAATTTACAGTGCTGTAACGGGGGAAATTAATTGAAATGGAGTTCATCTATGAAAAGATCTTTCTGGTGTTCCTTTTTCTCACTTATAGATCTTTGGACCAATCTCTCTTTCTCTATCTCATTATGTTCTACAATAAATTTTATTCGACCCATCTTGCATTTCTATGCGATTAATCATCTGAATTGAATCAATAGTTAGGTAGATAATTCTGTTGCTTTCTATTTCTCACTGATAAATCTTGCAGGACCCAGCTTGGGTATGAGTTTTATGTTTCCATTAGGCATTTTATATAGGAATTATCGACAATAAACCTCGTGTTTAATATTACCTATTTATGGGAGTTGTGATCCTTAGAACTAAAAACTTTGTGAAACTTTTGATTAGCTCTGTCACCGTGTGCATTGCCCCATCAGTTATTGCTTGATTTATTCTCTGATAAATCTTACTATCCTCTTTGAATATTAAGCAACTTGCTACTGCGAGTGACTGAAAGTGCAATTGTGTCAATGGGGCTCCTATTGTTCTTCTAGCTTTTTTTATGTTATTTTCCTTCACTTTCTCCTTTGTCACCATTGTTCTATGTTGAGCAATTTCTTGTTCTAATGTTGTAAATTATTAAAAAAAAATAAAAAATTGAACAGGAATGGTTTTTTGATATTTGTAGCATTAGGGACTTGAACCCTTTCCTTGATCTACAAAAGGAGAAAATAATTGAAACCTTTTCATGTTTCTCCAAATTAAATTTTGTCACCATGGACATTTTCTACTTGGGGTTGCTGGAATTCCAGTGCTATTTCAAAATTCTGAAAGTTGTGTCCGGATATCTGATGTTTCTTTTATATTTATTTTCTGAGTAATGCATTTTATTTGATGTTTTGATTGGGAATTTGTTGAACTTGATATTGTTGAGTTATGGTTGGCACTAAGATTTGGGATGAATTGTATTTGGCTTTGGCTGTTGGGACTAGTTGTGATTGGATATGACTTATAGGTTAGAAGGTTGGTTCGGTGGTCCATTAACCAGCTAATATGTTCACTTCAATAGGTTGAACTTTTAGGGTATAAAAAGGTGTCATAGAGATGGCATTGATGTTAATGGATATGTAACAATTTAGCCTTGGATTCAGTTTGACACGATACGTTGCTTTCTTCTTCTTTTTATTTTCTTGTCTCTTTTCTTTACTTTTTCTGATTTATATTATTTGGAATCTTGATATGATGAATATTGACTGAAAGAGAATCTTGATTCATCCAGGATTCAGGCTGAAATTTTTGTTCCTGTTATAGAATCTTTGCCTTGTTGAAACTTGTCAGTGTACTGAGGTATCGAGCTTTGAATATAGTCATAGCTGCCAACATTTGGGGTACTGTACTAGTACGAATAAGTTTGGTGAAAAATGTGTCAGGTATGTTTTAGTTGGTACATCGCAGTTGTGAAATTATGCACATGTATCTTAGTGTGAGTGCAGGAAAATCCATGTGATTCACATAAATAATGTCAAGTTGAAACGGGTTTCTAGTACATACTACTAAAGATGAGTTTAACCCATGAGGACTGAGTGTAGGGGTAACTATTGTTTCATATTTTGGGATAAAATGAGATTTTCTCTGATTTTAAATAAATAAATCCTCAAATGGTGCTTTGGCGGTTGACATGTGTCTTTCTACCTTGTAAGTCAGTGACTATGCTTTTGTTTATTGTCGCTTGTTCTATGAGTGAGACTCAATTATCGGCTCTTGTTTGTTTTACTTTACTGTTTCGTGAGTCACAATATCCATCCTTTATTATTAACCTTTTTTTTTTACTGCACGTGATTTGTCCATAACTACCAGACACACAGGTAATTACAGAAAAGAGACTTCCAAAGAGTCATAATATCCATAAGACACAATTGGTAAAGCTAGGCTGCACTGCATAATCTCATGATTAAGGAAGAAGTAATAAAATATCACAATGAAGATACACGTCTGAACATAAATGCTGTGCATTGGAACTAGTATAACAAACTTCCAGCATGAGACTTGATGGATCACGGTTGGTTATGTTAGAAAATTGAACATTTTGTCGTTGTGTCAGTATAACGGGGTTGGGGATTTCTACAAATAGTCAAAACTGTTGATTTCAAGGGATACTCAACAAATGTATGTTGTGAGCTCACCAGGTATTGAAGAATAGGAATATGTATTTTGCTAGAAAGAGGAGCTTACCTGAATGTGTTTGTTTATAGATATGTAAGATTCAGTTTTGGGGTAAACTGTGGTTTCGTTCAAATTTGTCATCTATATGTATATTATTTGAAGTCCTTTAACATTTTCTCAAGTTTCATGATGGAAGTTAGCAGCACAAGTTATTGAATTTTAAGATGGAGAGCTTTAAAATGTAGGTTAAATTTTTAGAAGTATTTTTTTCTTCTCACAGTACAATTTTCTATGGTTACTTTGATATTGATGATTAAATATGGCTATAAAATACCAATAAAAAATGGTTATTAATCTGTAAAGATCTAAGGACTAGAAAAATGCAGATTTGAATTTCTGGGGTAAATAGGATTTCGCCTGAGCAGGGACTAATTCAGGTTTCATCTGGCATGGTTTGTAGTTTGTGCGCACCAATCGTCGATTTATGCCTTCACAAGCAGATGAGGAGGCTCACCAGTTATCCTATTTGCAGAAACATCTGCCTAATATGCTTGCACTTTTGGCTCAACCTGCTGAAGCAGAGGATGACGAAGCGATGGTGGGTGAATATATTGTTATTTCATTAGTTCTTTCCTCTTTTGGTTCAGATAAGTTATGTGTTCAAGTATCTATAGAAATTATTTGTTTATTTAAAGGTACAAATGAAAAATTGCAGGGAATGAAATGTGTCTTCAAACATTTGAATGTTGTTGGCATTTAACCATCTATTTTATTATAACAAATAAGCGTAGATTTTTTGATATATTTCTTTATTAGGAGACAACAATTTGATTTCCAAGTCTATTTCTTAGTAGTTAGTAGGCAAATAATCTGGTTTTGTAGAGCTGTCTTTTGAAAATTTTGAGCTAGTATTTTTTTAGCATTATGGCCTTGAAAAGATTAGTTTGATTCCTTATTTCATCAGTCCACTATTTTTTTTTATGATTAACAACTAAATAAAGGTGGTAGAATTGGCACAATACATGGCTGAGCATGATATTACAATAAAGAGAATAACCCTATGTAGTTGGAGCTATGGTTGATACTACTCTTCAAGAAAGGAGACTGCCATTTTAGTAGCTTACCTTCGTGCGTACCTTTTTTCTGATGCAAGGGCTTTGGTGTAATCTGACTTGAGATTTCCAGTGAATTGGTTTCTTAATATGTCTCTTATAAAGACTTGCCCCAATGAACAAGAGCTTCCCTTTGTACAAATACACACTCCCTCTCTCTCCACACCCCCTGCACACACAAACACAGGCATGCACTTAAATTTGTGATAGGTGTAGACATCTAATATTTTGGGGATGGAAGAATGAAGTTTTGGGTCAACCCTGGAAAAGGTATATTACTGGGAAAGCACATGTAGCTTGTTCCATTCAGATTATGACTCTCCTGAGTCTTTTCCCAGAGGACCCCAGAAATGAGTTTTTCGATTCATTTGATGTGGGCACCTCAGTTGATTTGACACCATGTAGTCGCTTGATTCTGCCTGACTTTTGAAACGTGAACGCTTGGACTACAAGTCCTAGGAATATTTATTTCAGATATTAAGCAGCATGCTTACTTGATTATTTTCTGGATATTTGCATTTATGACACCATTACATGGTGGTTTATTACAGGTTTTGAGCGTGGATAGGTTTGAGCACCTTGGCTTTCTCTTTCACTATGGTGAAATTGGATCAGCAACGATGCCATTAAGTCAGGCAGTTCCATTTTTTGCAAATTCTGACCCAGACATGCCTGCAGTACCAGTTCTTGCTTCACTGATACATGACTGGCTTCTGCAAAGTCTATCTCCAGCATCTGAATTTTCTCCTGAGAAAGTTTCGGCCAAAGAAAATGGTCCACCGAGTGCGTCAGATCCAGATGTTACCATGGCTGATGCTTGCACAGGTATCTCTAAGAGTGGAACTACCCCTTGTGGCAATGCTGCATATTCTAGGGATCAGACTTTTGTAGAGGGTATCTCCAAGGCTTCAGTCATAAAACAAGCGGCCGACATCCGAGGTTGCTCAGTGAAGGTAAGGTTTGACATATGGAGCTTTTGGCTTGGTGAATGTCAGGTTTATTAGCCTTTAAAAAAAAAAAATGTAGGGTTTACTCGTTGGAATGCAAGATATGACGTATGTTCATGCTGGTACTCTTTTATTATTTAATTTTTGCGGTTATTTGTATATTTTGTATGTAAGTTGCTACTTCAGGGATACAAGTACAAACTACAGATCAATGACTTAAAAGGAAATGACCCAACTATCTTCACAGATCAAAATTTATAAGACTACAACAATGACAAAACGGAAATGACAATGAAAGCAGAATCTGAAGGATGTAATAGCACATGAACAACATGACAGTTTATATTAAAGGTGCATGCTCATGGAAAATTGGATTTGAGGAAACCAGAGTTGCACTTCGCTCATCCATATGAGTTAGTTCTTGATTTCGCTATTGCCTTTTATGGTAATCCTTACTTGGAGGTTTTATGAGTTGAACAAATGACCTGTAGCAAGGTAATAGTACTAGGTTATGTAAGTCCACGTTTCAGTATGAGCTCTCATTGGGGAAACAGTGCGCCTGAAATGAATGTTATTGGGAGTCCCTTTGTTTGGTGGAAGTTCTTGAGGAGATCTGGAGCTTTAGGATCTTACCATCATAAATTTCACTTTTTTTTTTCTCTCTTTCTTTTTGTTGTAGTAATTTTTAATGTCCTTTGTGAATTCTTACCCCACATGCATAAGCCTGTGCAAGCACCTGACCCATCTTGGTTAACAGAGAAATATTCTCATTCTTGCTTGACCTGCACTTTCTCTTCCAATTTGTTTAGGCTACACATTCTGTAGATAGGCTTAAAATATTTTTAGAGATTCCTTTCATATTCCATAAACTTTTAACTTATTTTTATATTGTATGCAATTCAAATTGAGGAATAACATTCCTGAAAACTTTAACAAAGTGGTGATTAACTTTCTGCAATATGGCTAAACAGTTATCATTTTCGAAAAAAACAATAAAATATGCCTAAGGAGAAAGTGAAATATACCCTTTGCAAGAGGTGAAATATGTGGTCATTTGGAAATTGTTATGATGTGCTTTCATTAACTGTTCATATACCTCCTCGATTTTCAAATTTTGTGCTCCAACTTGCTAAACAATTTTGATTTTCATTTCAACCTTATTGACTGCTGGTGTCTTGAGTTAACATAAACTGGATTCATCTGCAGGTTTGGAATTGTCATGAATCTGTGATTTACATACTTGCACCTTTAAGATATGCAGTTGTTTATGGGTGTTCTGATGCAACTATTATTCTTGGAGCCATTGGTAAGGTATGCATAAACTTTTAAGATTGTAGATCAACTTCTTAAGCGACTTTACCTGTTTCTGGTCTTTGTGCAATGCCTTTTTGTATCTTATGTGTAATTGCATTTATTTATTTATCTTATTTGTGGCTTGGGTCATTCCCATTATTTTGGATGTTTGATATTGACTGAAAAACCGGTCCCCTTGTTTGTTAGTCGTCAGAATGAATGGTTTAGATTTCTGATAACCACATTTGCAATTGAGAATTTTGGATGGACCATTTGCTTTTGCTTTTGGTTTTTTGGATGGAAGATAAGTTTGTTGGGTATCCTGTCTCATGTGGAGAGGAAACCCAGCATCATTTAATAAAAGAATGGGACCTCATTGGCATTTTCTAATGGATGGGGGCATTAATGTTCTCTTTTTTTTCTTTTTTTTTTTCGAGATATCAGCATTAAAGGGAATTACACACCTTAGGATCTGTGACCGTAATATACAATGACTGGATAAGCAAGTGATTAGTAATTCCAATTGAGAAACCAAGAGAGTAGAGAGCCTCTTGAGAGAGAGAGAGAGAGAGAGAGAGAGAGAGAGAGAGATGAAACGCTCTAAAAAAAAGAAAACTAAGAGAGAGAAATCGCCTCTTGGAGAGAATGCATAGCAGGTTTTGTGTGAGAAAGCTCCTAATCAGTTATATCTCTTGTTGGTCTTAGATCCTTAGTCTAGAGTGAAAAAAGAAAAGAAAGAGTGTGTTTTGAGAGGTTCGGTATTTGTGTCCATCAAATCTTGTAACTTTCATCTGCAGAGTGGATTTAGATGTCTCCTCGCCATATATGTAGCCCATAAGGGTGAACCACATTAGATTTGTGGGTTTGGTGCTTGTTTGTTTCCTTCTGTGGTTGTTTATAGTTCCCATCCCCACAGACACCTACACCCTTGTTGGTGATATCTTAGGCCCATGGCACGAGTGCTCACGAAGTGTTTGACACTTGGTCCTAAAGGCCACACAAATTCCATGTGTGTATCCCCATTGTAGTAAGAGGGCATGTATAGCCCAACCAAATGTTATCAAAGCCAGCTTCTCTTGCATTGTCACATCAGTGGTCATTGGAACACTGCTGATCATTTTTTATCACTGGTAAACTCAAAGATTGTGCGGGTCCTCCAAACTGTAGATCATTTTTCTAGACTGCCATTACTTGTAGAGGACTTATTTTGGACATACCTTTGCTTAGTCAGTGTGAATTGTCTGTAAGGTTAAGTTTGAACCATTGGTGAGTGTGAAGCGTTTGTGGATTTGGACTGCCAGTGAGTTGTGTATTGGACCATTTTGACTGCTAGTTTTGGGTCCTGTGTGCATTCAAAGATGGATTGCAGTACCAGGAGTAAAATGAGTTCTCTCAACAAGAACAACTGGATAATCTAGAAAGTGGAAGTCAAAGATGGAAGATCTTCTTTACTACTTGGACTTGTATACACTCATTGAGGAGGTAGAACACAAGTTTGCAGATATGTCAAATAAAGAGTGGAAGAAGCTGACAGAAAACACTTGGACTATTCAACAATGGTTGTATGTTGTTGTTTTCCACCATGTGTTGTGTGAGACATCCTTCAAGGCAGTATGGAAGAAGCTACAAAACTTGTACAGGAGAGAAGCTGCCTGAAATGCAGCGTTTCTGACCCAAGAGTTGGTAAACGTGAATTCAGAGATGAAGGTTCTGTTGAGAGCATCTAAATGAGATGCAGAGTATAGTTAATCAGCTTGCAATGATGAAGATGGTACTGGAAACGAGCTGCAAGCATTGCTATTGCTTAGCTCACTGCTGAGCAAGGGCACAATTAGCCTCTTACAAGAAGAGAGAAGAAAAAAAACCATCAACATCGTCCTTGCAAGCTGGTCACAAATCGAGGAAAGTCTAGGGGTCAAGACCAAAATAACCGATCCAAGGTGAAAGGTAGATTGAAGTCTAGAATGGGGATCACTTGTTATCATGGTGGCAAGAATGAGCACATGAAGAAAGTGTGTCGAAAATTCAAAAGAGAACAAGAGGACAGTGCCAAGAACAACGACAAAAAAACATCTACAGTTGAACTGGGTGTGTTCCGAAACTATGGTGACGATTACATCAGTATTGTATCGGCTTCGTGCACTCTGACTGGGTATCTTTCATATTACCCTACATAAACATTATTTTTCTTCTTACAGGGCATGAGACTTTGGCTTTGTGAAGATGGGTAATGATGATTCATCCAAGGTTGTCGAAAGAGGGCATGTGCGCATCAAGATTGACATCAGGATGAAGCTAGCTCCAATGATGTGATACACGTAGTAGATCTTGGTCTAAACCTAGATGATGCTTATATGATGAAAGGTACCACTTGGTGTTTGGTAAAAGACGTTAACAAATGGATCTCTTATAGTGGATAAAGGCAATAAGTGATGTTCTCTTTATAAAACATAGGTACATGTCTCTAACAGAAGGTTAATGCAGCCATTGATGAATGATCATCAGGCATGTGGCACAAACGACTTCAGCACATGGGTGAGAAAAGGAATGCATATCTTAGCAAAGAAGCAAACTCTTCCCAGGTATCAAGAATAATCTTTGACCCCGTGTGACCATTGTTTATTTGGCAAACATAGAGTTTCATTTGCTATTAAGGACTCTAAATTTTGATACAAGGTCTTAGATTTAGTGTATTCAGGATGTATGTGGTCCCATAGATGTGAAGTCTCATGGTAGTGCTATTAATCTGCCACCTTCATAGATGATACTTCCAGAAAAGTGTAGGTGTATCTTATGAAATCGAAATGTCAAGTGGGTAAGATCTTTTATAATTTCCACACGAAAGTGGAAAAAGAGACAATCAAGCTTTTATGGTCAGACAATGGAGGATAGTACATATCAAATACTTTAAGATACTATTGTACCAAACATGACAAAAGGCTCGAGAAGATGGGACTGACACCCCCCAGCACAGTATTGTAATAGAAAGAATGAACCACCCCATTATGCAGAGAGTCATGAGCATGTAGAGCTAATGTTGGCACCCACTATGCCATATCAACGTGAAAGTTTCCTCATCGCATGTCACATGATATCATTGAAGAATTGAAGAAGCCATAAAAGGCAGAGTACTTCAATTATGAACTTCAATATACAATTCCTCCTATCCTGTACATGATGATGACAGGGCAAAAGTGCAAGAAGATGAAGGGGGTGAATCTCATGATACTGATTTCCCTGTGTTGGGTGATGTGGAACAAGGGAGCAACATGTTCAAGAAGTTCCACATTGTTGAATTGAGAATCCTCTAAGCAACATAGCCCTCAACCAAGTACGCAACATTAAAGAATACCTTGATTATTGATGGAGGTGCACGAGAAAGCTACCAAGAAACTCAGACCAATAAACATAGTGGACAAAAGCTATGTAAGAGGAGATGGATTCCTTGCATAAGAACCACACATATGACCTAGTAAAGCTTCCAAGAGGCAAGAAGGCACTTAAGAACAAGTGGGCATTCGAGTTGACTACGGAAGAGAAAAGCTTGCAACCAAGATATATGGCATGGTTGGTTTCGAGCAAAAAAATGGTATTTAATTTTGATGAGATCTTCCCTTCCATGGTCAAAATGTCATCGATGTCCGTGGTATTGGGCCTGGCTGTGGAACAAGGCTCGATCTAGAATCATAGTAAGGGCCCAAATGCCACAGGAGAGAAAGTATGAATCTAGAAATTAAGTAGATGTCAAAACAACGTTTTTGGGAGATGTATATGGAGCCGCTAGAAGGATTCAAGGTACAGCAAAGAGCACATGGTTCATAAACTAAGAGCCTATATGGGTTGAAACAGGCCCCACGCAATGGTTAAGGCAGTTTGATTACTTTATATAGGATCATGGATAAAGAGAACAGCCTTAGGTCATTGTGTGTTCATCAGGAAATATATCAACAGTGGTTTTATCATCCTTTTAGTCTATGTTGCTGACATGCTAATTGGTGGCTAAGATATTGACAAAATTGACAGGTTGAATTTAAATAAGGGAAAACCTATTTGTTCTCCACTTGCTGGACGCTTCTAGTCAAGTGCCAAGCAAAATCGTTCAATGAGAAGGAAAAAGAATATATGGAGGAAGTTCCCTATCTATTACTTGTAGTAAGTTTAGTGTGTATCATAGTGTGCGTGAGGCCAGGTATTGTCCACGCAGTTGTTGTAGTGAACAAATACATTGCCAATCCTTACAAGGAGTATTGGGAAGCAGTCAAGTGGATATTTAAGGTATCTCAATGAGTCATCAAAAGCATGTTTGAGCTTTTGGAGGGGGTAAACCTGTGCTTCCCCGAGATATTGATTCTGGAAAGTCAACCTTGGATACCCGTTCATTGTTGCAAGGGGAGCCATATCATGATAGTTGAGGTTGCAGAAATATGTGATTCTGTCAACTACAAAGCCCGAATGCATCGTGGTCACAGACGCCTGCCAGGAGATCCTGTGGATGAAACGGTTTCTGCCAAAGTTACACTTGAAACAGGATAAAATATGTTGTCCAATGTGACAATCAAAGTGCAATCCACTTGAACAAGAACACAAACTTCCATTAAAGGACAAAGCATGTTGATGTACATTTGGGGAGGTCCTAGAAAAAATGTTGTTACTTGACAAGATCCATTCCAACAAGGATGCATCGGATGTGATGTCAAAGACCCTATCCAAGGATAAGCAGGCTGGATTGGTTGCTATATGAGCACCAAGTTTATCTGCATAGTATTACCCTCCTCATGAAACTAGAGGGGGAAATTGTAAGGGTATCCCATCTCATGGGGAGAAGGACCCTACATGAGATGGGACCCTAGTGTATTGAGTAAAAGAATGCCAGCCCATTGGCATTGTTTACTCGATGGAAGCATTAAAAGGAATTTCACACCTAAGGGTTAGTAACCCTACTGTGAAATGACTTGATGGGCAGGTCATCTGGAAACCAATTGAAAAACCAAGAGTGTAGGGAGCCTCGAGGGAGAGAGTGAGAAAGAGGGAAACCAAGAGAGAGTAAAATCCTCTTGAGTGAGTCCTAAGAGAGAAAAATAACTTCTTGGAGAGAAAGGACGGGAAGGTTTGTGGGAGAGAAATCCTCAAATCAGCCATATGTCTTATCAGTCTTATATCCTCGGTTTAGAGAGAAATAAGGAGAAGAAAGGGGGTGTTTGGGAGGTTAGATATGTGTTTCCATCAAGCCTTGTAACCTTCATTTACATAGTGGATTTAATTGTCTCTCTGTGGATGTAGCCCATAAGCTTGATACATATTAAATTTGTGTGTTCGGTGCTTGTTTCTTTACTTTTGTGGTTGTTTGTAATTCCCACTTCTTCGCGCGCGCACACACACACATAAGCCTTTATTGTTTATTTCATGGTTCAAGGGATATTGCTCCCAAAGTGTTCAACAAGTGGTCCCCAAGGACTCACAAACTCCTTTTGTGCATCCATGTTGTAGTGTGAGGGCGTCTGTAGCCCAAAGTTGTGGGTCCACTTATGCAACAGCCATTTAATGGATCAATCAGACTCTGACCTTCATATATGTCAATGGATTTGATGCAAATTGGACATTTGCTAATCAGAGAACTTGAAAAATCAATGGAATCCAGATGCTTTATTATCCAGTAACTGTATCTTCCATAATGAAATTGTTTGTGTATGAATAGTTACTATTTATTAGAGGAATGATCCTCTGAGACCTGGATCAGCACAAAATATGTAGGATCACTGCTGGTGGCCTAAACATTAACAGTAGGGGCCACCTTCTTAGTGCTCTACCCACACACATACATATGAGGGAGGGAGGGCTGGAATTTGGATGTAGTTGCAGTATTTTAAAGCTGCCATCATTTGACAACATTTTGAAACTGGTGATTGATTAAGTTACACTTTTTGTAGTAGATAACTTCAGTGAAAATAACTGAATAAATGGATTTCAATTGATAAAAGAATCGTTGAATATAAATACTTCTTCATTCTTTTTTGTTTCGTTTTAACTATATAAATTAGTTATTATTGAGCATAACTTATGTTACTGACAATGTCAAAATGTTTGCAAATTATCAAAAAAAATGAAGAAAAAATGTTAAAAGCTTGAAATCTTGAAGCTACTCTTTATATTTGCTAGTGGGATTTAGTCAAACCATACTTAATCACTCATCAGTTTTTGTTTGGCATATGTGATAATAGCAACCTAGCTCCTATGGTAGGGTGTGGTTTATATACAATTTTGGAGTACAAGTAAAGGAGGGGAATAATTTCTTCTAAAAGTTTCCAACTACTGTACGATCTTTGATATTTATAACAACTACCCATGCCTTTGCGCAATTTCCTCCCACTTCAAGTTCTGTTTGGAAAACTCTACTACATTTTAATGGATTCTGGAGAAACCAGAGTCCATGTGGTCATCACTATTCATTGAAAAATGATTGATGATGACAAGCAGAACTTGGATTTTGCAAGAACTATGAATGACCCTATTGTGCAATCTCATCTCTGCATTACTGTCCATCAATGATTAAAACTCAATGAGTTTGATTGGATGTGCCGTGCCCAAGTTACTCGGTCTCAACAGCCTGCTGAGTCCTTAATCAGGAGCAAAAACCTTGGGAACTGGCCTAGTCTTGTGAGTTCCAAAGGTTTTAACTCTGCCAAGACTCTGCCGCATGCATTTTGAGTCAAGTTACCTGACTAGGGTTCAGAACCCTAGTTAGTCTCAAGCCAAGTCCATTGAGTCATCATCGTCCACTAAAAATTATGGATGTCTGTGTTTCCATGGTCCTTTGCAATATAATTTGCTTTCATTTCTTTTTTTAAGAGATTGAGAATCTAGATTCTTAGTATATGGAGAGCCTTTTACTTTAGGAATTATATATCTGAATATGTAAAATTTCACATATAAGATTAATCCTTCTTGCAGGCTTTGAGGGTGGAACACTGTGAAAGGGTTCATGTTATTACAGCTGCAAAGCGTATCTATATTGCCAATTGCCGTGAATGTACATTCTTCTTGGGTGTCAATCAACGACCACTCATTCTCGGGGACAACCACAAACTGCAGGTGAAAAACAACTTTAATCCCATTTTCTCAATCTGGTTTATCCATTTCCATTTCTTGTTTGATTGTCTAACAAATGAGAAAAAAATTACTGACAATATTAATTTTTTTCTTGAGTGAAGGTTGACGAATAATTGACAAATATTATTTGTGGAAACTACAAGATATTTCTAGTTTTTATGTAACTATGACTAGGTTCTTCTGTTGTAATGCAGAAATCTTAATGAACAAAAAAATAGTGGGTTAGCGCTCTGCTTCATAATCTTGGACCTTCTCTGATTAAAACATTGTCTGTAATCTATATTTCGAAAGCTTACAATGAATAATTGTTTCTCGGGTACCTCCTTTTTCAAGGTTTTGGGGATTCAAGTTTCTGGCCACATGGGGAATTAACCTTTTATTTGGAGTCTTTAGGATTCCATAATATGTCCTATTCAACCTGCAGGATGTCCATATATATATATATATATATATATGAGAAATGATCCTATGGGACCCTTGCCCACCCATGTGTGTAGGATCCTCAAAAGATCACCATTAAAGTTGGTATGAATCTCTAGAAAAGTCGAGTCCCAC